GGTGTATTTATTAATAAAAACTTGTAAACACCACATCAGACCCTTTCATTGTTGTATCACATTGGGAGGGGGGAAAACTTGGAGGTAATGTAAACTTAAATCATTTCTGTATTTGCAGGTCATGATGCTGTGATACACGGGTCAATAAAGCACCAAAGTCACAATATTTGTCTAATTAATCTATTACTTTATTATTATGTTTTCAACAGTTTGGTGCAGTAATGTGGAATATAATTGCTGTCAGTGTTAAAGGGCATTTGGCCTTGGTATAAGTGGAGAACCCTAAGCAGAGAGCAAGGATGTAGCAGAAAAACTGTGCTCTTCTTTTCAAAATTTAATGTACCCTTATTTTATTACTGAAGATCCTTTTTTAATGGCCTAGTTTTTTGTATGTTTGCATATTGTGCATTTAATGTTGTTCAGGAATCAAAAACTTAAGTATTGTAGTATGTGTGAAGAAAAATGTAGAAACAAAATCGGACTAGCTTTGGGTCTACACGACACCCTGTTATTGCATTTGTGTGAGAAGTGTACCTGGAAAACTTGTTTCAGTTAATCAGTATTACTATAGGATTCATTTGAACTGTACATGTCCATTTAAGGAATTAGGCAGTTTTATTTTTATTTTTTCATTTGTAGTTAGTCAGCAGCACAAAATTTGTAATATTACTAGCACATATGCGGAACTGATTTTATTAATTAACCAGCACTTGAGATTCACTTGTGAAATTGTGAATAAAGAATACTGCCATATCTGTTATTTATCTAAAAGGGACTCCCTGCATAGACAAACCTGGCTTGTTGATTTTAAAGTGTCGATAGATAATTAAAATGAGTGTTGATCCTATTCTAGAAAAAAATTTAAATATCAAAGTAAACAATTCCATGAAAGCAAATCATAAAAGTAAAAAAGAGGCATCCATACCTGCCTTAATAAACGTTAATCTCGGTCTCAGAAGAACGCTAACCATCGAAAGATTTACATGTAATGTCAAAAGTGCAATAACGCAAAGCGCACGCACTTGCTAATGCGAGGCAGAAGTAAGGAATAGTACCCTGAATAATATGGAGATCGGGATACCCCTTTACAGCACGGCAAACGAAAACTGCCCCTCTACATTATGGAAAAGCGCCCCAATACTCGTAAAACAAACATCTGCCACAATGATGATGAAATGACACTACAGCAGATCATATTAAAGTGAAAATATTTTCACTATGTACTAGCAGTCTGAAGTTGGTGCTTAATTGTACTAAATTAGCAGCTATTCAACATAGATTATAATGTTTATATTTTAGCACGAATAAAACATTACTTTGGGCTAATGGGAAGGAATGGGTTGGTAATTAGTTGTGCATAAGACTGAATATTAACATGGGTATTAAACTGTTTACACAATCGATATGCTTAAATATCCCGATAATGTAGTCAGAAAAATTACCGTTCCTTTGCTTGTGGCCAATGAGGAGCAAAATTTGGTTAGCTCCGCCTATGGATAGTTTTGCCATATGGCGATATTTTCAGATTAACGAGACTAATGAACCAGATATTTACTGTACACATTTCGATGACCATGCGTCAATGTATATATAAATTTAATATCCTTTATTGTCTAAGAAAAAAAGGTATTTTGCATTATTTCACTCTCATCGTGACTTAGAAGACGAATAAGAACAAAACCATGACCAATCAAATGGTTCCACTTATCAAGTACACATGGGCGAAATACAGTACTGCATGACCTCTGTTGTCTGTTGGGAGCGATGCTTGCAACGGGGATATAAATGCTTCACACGGATGGCCTCTTACGTTAATATGGATAGAGAATGGTATATGCACCTTATGCACCAAGAACGTTTCATAGTTCGATGAGCTACCTTCGCTATTTATAGCAACGGAGTAAGAAATGGTGGGATCGCGTCGTGGGGTTTGGAGGCTGTTTCGCTGGAGGGAATCGGTCTATTTAGAGCTTGGGAGGGAATACAAATTATTGAAATTATAAGCCCGTATTATTTTCCTTTTAATTAGCATACTAAAATAAATAAGCATACACACATGCTTAAATACATACATACTCACACGTGCCATCAGTTCAACTTCATTATACGTCCGACAGGGTAAAACAAAAATAAGCATGGAAAGTTATGTTGGAAGACATGACCGCTCATCTGTCAAAGAGCGACAACTGATAAATCAGAAGAAATTTGCCACATTTTGACTTTTTCCAGTGTAAAAACAATTTTGAGATCGGCATTGTGAAAAAAATATTTCTAAACGTTTCCCTACACAAACAATATGGCAAACAAATGAATTCATCTTGTCTCATTTCTTCGTCATAATGAAATCACAGAAAATGGAGACTGCTGTAAAAATTCAATCCTTTGATACAGCCCTTTTTTGCTCGTATCCAACATAGGGCATACATGTGAGTAGAAATTTATTGAAATGAACTGTAAGATACAACACAGTTCTCTTGAACTTCATCATATATCCATCTCTTCTGTAGCTCTAAAAAAACTGCGGGAAATATAAACTTTAACGAAAATGCTGTTAATTACGCTGCTCTTTACCTTTTCGTGTTATATTTGACTACGCATATGTTACCGCCTAATATTTTTGTATATTTATAAATTTCGCATACAGATAATAAAAACTATGTGTTACTAATTCCATAACTCCAGCACACACAATGTTACTGTATCGCAAAACCTACATTTGTGGGGATTACAGTACTAACTGTCTTGCCTCGCTTTTTCACAACACTTATTCGATTTTTTTATTTTGGTGTAAAGGGAAACCACATTTTTCTGACTATACATGTAGACTTATTAGTAAGAGTATTTTCTTTTAATGGAAAGTGAACCATAGGTGATCTGCAGATTAGAATAACTGTTCAACGGGACTTGAAAAACGACTAAACCGACATAAACTGCTACCCACGCGGGCAGTCACCAAAATCACAATCGAGGGTCAGAATCTGATGATTATAGGATTTCTTGCGTTACTTTCTTTCTTTGGTTTGGGTGGTTGAGAGGATGAGGTATGTGGAAAAAGATGGGGTTTTGCGGGGTTGGTTGGTTTGGGTGGTTGAGAGGATGATGTATGTGGAAAGTTATGGGTTAGGGGGGATATAAAGGGGTAGAGCAACTGTGTGAATTTCCCGGGACTCTAAAGAAAAGGCCCGGGCGAAGCTACACTTCGCAAATCTAAATGAACTGAGTGAACTGCATTATATCTGTGACTGGGGAAGGAATATGGATACTGTTCAAGGAAAACAGAGGTGGCTGTTGGAGAAGTAGGGGAAGAATAATCCAGAGGATGGGAAGGAGGACTGGGGAAGGTGGTGAAGTATCAGGAAGAATGTCTGGGAGGGACACTGTTGTGATAGAGGGATTCGTGCGAGTATTCAAGTGGAGCGGTAGAGAGGGTGGAGTCTGTTAGGAGGGTCTAGGAGGAAAGGGGGTGGAGGGAACTTGAGGAGGAGAGGAGGATATCTGCAAATAATTCAAATGTAGGAGTAGGAACAGAGGGATTGGGGGTGGATGGGAGCGGGAGTGTTCCCTTGAGTCATCTTTAGGAAGTTTTGGAGGTCTTCAAGGGT